ATATGGCAGCTAGTTAATATCCTTAATATACGAAGGAGCATAAATAAGGAAAAGATAAATATCTCAAAAAATGTGCAAAGGGCACAAAGAGAACTTTCACCAAAGTATTACAGAAATACAAATGGCTAAAAATGTTTATCTATATTAAAAAATATAAATACATATTATATATAAAGTATGTCCCAGTACTTCTAATTGAAAAATTAAATTAAAACAATGCTTAGCTATCTGTCTCCCCTCATCGATTTGGCAGATAGGGAAAAGATAATTTGCTGAGGTTATGACTGTGCTGGGAAATGAACACTTTTGTGTACTGCAGGCGAGAATGACACTTGAGATGTGCTATAAGATTTTTATAACTTTAGCTCAGCAGTTCCATATCTAGGTATTTCTCTCAGGAATAAATACATACAATTATTTTAAAAATTATTCAAACTGCATTATGGAATAGAGAAAAATTGAACAGATACTACACTTGATCTTAGCCAAATGCCAAGATGTGATTAATAGAGAAAACTTGAACACAACACAGCTCTCCAACTACAGAAGACTGTTAGACAGACAGTGACATATATTCATAGAAATTTGTGGACTACCCTGCAGCCATTAAAAGTCTAAATATTAACAACTTGGGAAATTATTCACAATAAAGGAAAAAAGCATGTAACAAAACAGTAGTTTCTAAACTTTATTTTTAAACATAGGTACTCTCTATATAGCATCGAGAAATGTGCACTCTGGTTATCTCTGAGAGAGATGATTATAAGAGACTTATTTTCATTTTTAACTTCTTTGTAATTCCCAACATTTTCTATCATCAATAGGCATTATGTTTAAAAAGCTATATAAATGTTTATAAAACTTGAAAGGCAAGTATAATGGAGTGGTTATAAGTGCACTCCAATGCTGTCCAACCTTGGGCAAGTTGATTAACTTCTCTATGCCTCAGTTTCCTCATCTGTAAAATCGGTAGAGCGTTGGGTTATATTAATGGGGCTACTGTATATAAGGTGCTGAAAGGGTGCTTGGCTTATCAGACCTGCTTAAGGCAATTTGACTTTATTTCTCATGTTAATCTGTATTTTAAGAAGAGACAGGGGAGCACATATTTACACACCTGAGCTCACTCTGGGGAATGGGAATGTCTATTCCGTACCACGGTGGCCTTTGTCTTTCTACACAGGTTAATGACTTTGAAGGGCTCTGGGATAAGGGACCAGCTTCCTTCTCCAGCTCCCACCCCAACACCCAGAACGTGTCCCTTGACCCCATTCTTTTTCTCTGCCCCCGTTTGGCAGTCTCATGGTCATGTAGCTCAATGGTCACCTCTCCAACCTGTCTCTGAGTTGTAGGCCCCAAGTTCAAGGCTGCCGGCAGTTTTCACGTGGCACTCGCCAGCATGCTGTGCTCGCTTACTCACTAAGCATCTGCTAAGTGTGCACTAGGGCAGTCGCTGACCTCCAAGCCTCCCTCCTCCTGCGCCTTCTGCCTGCTCTGCGTCTCTGGCCTCCCATTCAAGATCCACCCATCTGGTTCTGACCAGCTCTCTCCTCTGAACTCCCACTACTTCCCTCCACGCCGGGTGCCAGCCAGACCCCACAGCACCTTGCTGCACAGGTTTACATTGAGTCATTGCTCCTCTGGCTGCCTGGGATTTTCTTCTCTTCAAGTCATACCAAGCTCCAAGGCACCGTGCAAATGCCACCTCTCCCAGGGAGCTGTGTGTGATCGTTCCTTGATGGAAGTCACCTTTTTTCTCTTTAATGCTCAACCTCCTTCACCTGTACCACTTTCATGTCAAATAATTTTTATTTTGCATTATGATTAGTCATATATATTACTTAGCCTTCTCAGTAGGTTTAATGTGTACAGAGTTGTACAGAGTATGTGCTCAATAAATATTTATGGAATAAATGAGTGAACTTTCGAAAAGGTGACTGAAGGCTACGGAATGTCGCATTACCTTGAAGCATGCAGTCATAGGCCTTCCTGTCTCTCCTTCCTAAGGCATCCCAGAATCCCAGGGGCTCGGAGCCTTCGTCACACTCGTGTATTGTCACTTTGCTGCTGCTGTGCAGACCTGCTTCCAGCGGGCACCTGCACGGGAGAAACTCCAATCATCTTTCATAAGCCCGGAGAGCGACGGCAGCACGAAGTTATCCCAAACCAAATCTACAGGTCCATTCACTGTCTCTCGTCTTCCACTTTCTAACTAACAGCAATTCTTACTCAGGAATGAAAACATGCTCCGCAGTTTCAGTGTGTGTGTGTTGGGGAAGGAGAGGTTGGCTCGACCCCTAGGGAGGAATGTACGATTAAATATGACATGTGTTAATAATGAAAATAATATACATTTTTATATATAATACATGTTGATGATTTCTTTTTTTTTTTTTTTTTTTTTTGAGGCAGAGTCTCACTGTGTTGCCCGGGCTAGAGTGCCGTGGCGTCAGCCTAGCTCACAGCAACCTCAAACTCCTGGGCTCAAGCGATCCTCCTGCCTCAGCCTCCCGAGTAGCTGGGACTACAGGCATGCGCCACCATGCCTGGCTGATTTTTTCTATGTATTTTTAGTTGTCCGATTAATTTCCTTCTATTTTTAGTAGAGACGAGGTCTCGCTCTTGCTCAGGCTGGTTTCGAACTCCTGAGCTCAAACAATTCACCCGCCTCGGCCTCCCAGAGAGCTAGGATTACAGGCGTGAGCCACCGCGCCCGGCCCATGTTGATGATTTCTTATCCTTCTTTCCTGTTAGAACATAAGCTTGTGGGGACAGAGACTTAGGTTTACTCACCACCAAATCCCTAGTCCCTAAATCTGTGTTTGGCTCCAAGCAAGTGCTTGCTAAACATTTGTTGAATGAATAAGTGAATGAGCTGCTGATGATTTTGATTTTTGGACTTCAGTGGCTCAAGTTTGATGGGCCATGAACTCTTTTGGACAACAACTCCCTGAACGTCATCTACCATCTCTCTCCCCATCCTAGCCCGCAGAGGATATTTTGAGATGGACATTTTGCTTCACATCGGTCTGCCTGTTGAGAGAGCCCCTGCCCCATTCTCCCCTCCACCCGCCCTCTCCACGCAGAGCGAGGTTTCAGAGCAGTCACAGGAGGCATGACCACACTGCCCTATTCTGGTGCCTGGAGAATGGGTTTCACCAAATCGCACTCTTGTGGCATGTTATGGCCTTACGAAGTGCATCATGTTTACTATGAGGATGTTACCAAGGTCCTCGCAGGTTTTAGTCACCTGCCGAGTGACAGGGGAACACTGGACTTTCTTTGGCTGTATGCGATGTATATTTTGCCTGGGCTGCTAGGAAGCTCAGAGCCACAGCAGCGCCTTCTCCAGTGGGGGAACCACCAGCACAACGTGCTCGCTTGGCTTTCACCTTCACCGCCCTTGTTTTCCCTCTTCCCTGAAGTCCAGTGCTCTCTCATAGTCGGCCTGCTCTTTGCAAGAGGCCGACTGTCGGGGGCCTGCCTGGGAGAGAGGAACAAAGCCCAGCGCCTGCAGCACTGCGCCCAAGAACTGCCCCGGGGAGGCCAATAACTCTCCAGCAGGTGGCTGCCTTCGAGATGGGGGAATACTGGAATACTGATGTTCTCTAAAGGGGACATCTTATGGTCGGACACAGACGGTCTCCCAGATCTTTAGCTTTTTAACACCGCAGTGTCCTGACATAACTAAAACTCTGAGTCTGAATCCCCCAAAAGATATTTGAAATCTGCTGTCTTTTAATATCACAAGACTCCAGGTTTATAATTCAGAAGCTGAATCGCGACTGCAAAGATCCAAGTGCTTGCTGGGGCTGTTTCCCTCGCTGCTCGAGCTGCCTCTTACTGATGCAGGTAAATCCTCAGGAAGTGGGGGAGCCTCAAAATGGGGGTCTTGGCTGAGGTGTGTGTCCTCTCTACTTGGAATGTCAGAAGTCCCTGAGCACATTTGCAACTGTCCCCTGGGGAAGATACTTTGAGCACACCAGGCGTCCGTCCACTGGCAGTGGTGGGATCCCTTCCCACCTCAGCCTGCCTGTGTCCCCCCGGGAAGCCCACACAGCACTCACTGTTCCTTGATTTTATTTGCCGCCATCCTGCCGACCTCCTTCGTGTGGGCCTGGGCTTTGCATCCGTGCCACAGGTAAATGAGGGCCTTATTTATGTTGAGAACCACCATGGAAGTCCTGGACCTCAGGCTGCTACAGTGACAGGCCACCTCCAGCAAATTCCCTTCCACGGGGACTTCTCCTCGCACACAGTACAGCCTCCACTCACCTGCAGGGGGCGCCCACACACAACGTTAGGATCTGAGCGAGTGACGAGAAAAGCGGCCCTTCCTGGTCCCCGCTGTGCAATTGGCAGCAGCCACCATGTCCCAGGGACTGAAGGGACTTGGGGACTGGGGCCTGCAGCACGAAGTCCTGCTGGGCAGCACATCTGGTCTTACTGCCATCCCAGAAAGCAAATCCTTTTGGAGTCGGAAGCAGGTTGCCAGAAGTTCACGATGCAGAAAAACCATTTTTCCAAAATTTATAAGTCACATAACAGGTACACTTTAAAAGACTCTAAAGCTAAGATTGCTTTGTTTTTTTGGATGCCGGCCAACAAAAATCTCATAATTTATAATAGAAGATTCACTGATTTTTTTTTTTCTTCCCAAAACGAGCAGACCAGCCCCTGCAGGGATTCGGTTTCAGGTGAAGCAGTCTCCAGCCTCCTGCACACAAAGGCGGATCCTGAATTCCACAGGGAGGAGGCCGGCTACGGGCTCCTCATAAAGTTGATTTATCAGACAAACACTGGGAGGCTTTCAGTGCTAAAGCCACAGCTATATGAACAGAGACTGATTTTAAATCCCCTTGCCTATAAAAATACCTTCCAGGAGAGGGGAAAAAAATCGAATTCTAGCAGTAAAAGTGACTTACTTTGCGCATTTTCTTCTTCCTCTTCCCGCCTCCCGGAGTGCACCACCATGCCCCCCTGGAAACACTGCAGAAAACAGGGGGGCTCCTTGCCCTGGAGAACCTGGACCTTCAGATTTAAACACAGTGAAATCAGTGACGGGGCTAGTTAGGGTTTTCAAAGCCATAAAAACAATAAGTACCTATTGTAGAAAACTAGAAAAATACCAAGGCCTACGAACAAAAGCCAGTGACAACACTGTTATCTAAAGATAAGAACTACCAAATTCTAGTCTGCAGGCTTCCTTTCGAAGAGTTTTTCAGGTAGATATTTTTTTCCTAAATGAACTCTGGGGTGGGGAACCTGCGGCCTCAAGACCACATGTAGCCCTGCAGGTCCCCAAGTGCGGCCCCTCGATGGAATCCAAACTTCACGCAACAAATCCCTTCATCAAAAAGATTTGTTCTGTAAAACCTGGATTCGGTCAAAAGGCCGCATTCAAGGATCCAGAGGCCACATGTGGCCCCAAAGACACAGGCTCCCCACCCCATACTCTCATTTTTTTTCACCTAGTATTTTTCCATCATGAATATCTTATAAAAAGCGTGAATTTTGATATTTGAACGGCATTCATTGGTATCGATGTAGCACTGTTTCGATGTGACACATTTTTAACAAAGTGCACCTCTCAGCAATGACAATGACTAAGCACTGCCTTAGCAATCCTGGGGGAGGTCGTGTCCTTGGCGATACCGCGGCAGTCCCCTCACAGAGCCTACAGGTGCGTGCCACCACACCTGGCTAGTGGCGGGCAGTGTTTTGTATGTTTAAAATAATTTTCCATCATTGCATTGATAAAAAATGCAATACTCAAACGACACAGATTAAGACTGAAAACTCTAAGGGTGATTTTGAAGGCACGATTAAAACATATTCATTCATGGCCTTTACCAAAAAAAGGGGGTTGTAATTGAAATTACTATTAGGAATAAATTAAAATGCGACTGTTGCCAACAACCATTTCTAAAATATAGTCCATAGTAGAAAATATGCATTTAAACATTTTTTAGGGAACATGATTGGTTCTTAGAACTGTGGAAGCCTGAGTGACTGTTGGTCTATTTCTGGAGGAAATGTCTCTGCTATCTTCCCTCAGGCTAATGTTAATCATTCATCCAAAAGGTAAAAATATTTGCACATGGTGTCCTGTTTTCTAAAACCCCAGAGTCAACTCTTTATTGTTGGTACTAAAGGATGAGATGCCCAATGCATGGATCATCCAAATATTAAAAAGAAATGTTTACAAAACCTTGGATTTGGGCGGCAGTCCCTGCAGACTCCGGGGTTCTAATGAGGTTGTGAGGCCCTGGGACTGCAAGACCAGGGCAGACTGCTTGTGGGGAAGACAGACAATACACAAGGGAACAAAACCATCATGTTGTTTTAGGTGGCGGGAAGTGCTATGAAAACAAAGGGATAGACTAAATTAGGGTCAGAGAGTGATGGGAGAGTGAGGACGGGTTTGGACAGAATAAGGGGTGACGTGCGAACAGAAACCTGCGTCTAAGAGGCTGAGGGCCGTGTACATCCAAGGTAGGGGACGTGCTCCGGGCGGCGGAGAGGGCACAGGGCTGGCGGGAGGCGTGTTTGCGGAACAGCAAGAGGGCTGCAGCCGCAGGGGTGGAGGCAGGAGCAGGAGGAGCCCGGAGAGGCGCCCAGGGCCAGCTCCGAGGTACTGAATTCCGAGGAGGCCGCTTAGACTGCAGCCTCTGGCAGAGGGCAAAAGAGTGATCTGGTGTGTTCCAGAAAAACCACAGGCTGCTGTGAGGAATGCAGACGGGAGTGCTCAATTTTACACTAATCTCCGATGTGTCCTTCAGGGAGGTTTGTGTAAAGGGAACATCTGATTGGATTTTTAAGGTTTTTGACCCAAAACTGCTCTTCAGGATGGCCGTCCAAGTCACACATCCCACCAGAAGCCCGTGAGTGTCCCACTGAATCCTTGCCAGCCCTGGGTCCGTTCTTTAAAAATCGCTACCAACTTCAGAAGGGGATGATAGCATCTCTGTCTTACTTGCTTATCAGTTAGGTGGAAACTGTTTAAAACTGTTCAATGGCCATTTGTGCTTGTGGCATGGATTTACTAGTCGCAGACGCTGCATTTGTCTCAGGTCATATTAGGACAGGTGGGGGGGGTGAAGCGAACGGGAGGCGGGGCCTGAAATCTCCAGGCGCCGGACCAGGGCTGGAAGTGCTTTGGGTGACGTGGTTGGTCCTTGCTCACTGGAATCAGGTCCTCAGGGACCAGGCCGAGCGTCACTGGCTCCCTGGAAAGGATGCCCTGCTGGGTCCCTGAGACTCACCTGGGCGCCCCTTTCCTCGTCCAGCTCCACCGTCATCAGCGCCGACGTTCCCTTCTCGCTCACGGTCGAGTGGCGGCCCTGCCAGAAGAAGTAGACGCACTTCTCCTTGCCGGTCACCCTGGCGCAGTGCTCTGCCTTCTGCCGGCTCCCCACTGCGAACACAGAGTGGCGGGGGCGGGGTCAGCAGCTGGGAGGCAGCAGAGGAGCGATGCCCACCCGGCTCTTGTTTCTCCAGGGCCAGGGCTGGGGGAAGCCGCTTGCACCGGGGAAGGTCAGCGACGCCCTAGAGAAGAGAGAGGCCCTTTCCCGGAGCCTCCTGCGGAGAAACAGGATCTGAACGGCCCTCTCACAAGCCTAAGAGAAACACCTGTCACCCCAGCGGGAGGCGGCAGAGCTCTCCAGCGTGTGACGGGATAATTTCGTAAGGTATTTGGTGACACAAACGTGTTTTCCCTATTACGCCACTCTTTGACAGACGATTAGCTGGCAGCGAGAAGATATTAAAAACAACAGCTGGGCCAGTTTTAAGCTCAAAGGAAAAAATGTAGACTTAAAACTATGTGAATTTTTGTTTAAAAAAAGAAGAAAGCTTTGAAGTTTCCAAGTTCTGTCAGAAATGGAGGAGATAAATCGCTGACATATCACTTTCACAAAATAAACTGGGATTTCACATCCGTCACCAGGGCTGTTGCCAGGACTAAGTCCTGATGTCCCTTCTGGCTGGCACCTGGCAGATCGGATGCTTGCTCTGCAGAGCGGCCGCGGAAGGTTAATCGGCGAAAAGGGCATTTTAGATAGCGCTGCACACCGCAAAATCTCCTCCTCTAGCCAAGTGTCTCCCCTAGATCCCTTTCGTTCACTCATTTGACAAATATTCATGGAGCCGGGACTCCTCAGGATGCTGGGCTACACTGATGAACAAGACAGACAACTTCGGGCCTTCGTTCTAATCAATGATGAGCAAGACAGTGTCAGACAGGGATGAGTGCTGTGAGCACCAGAGGTGGGGCAGGTGGCCCCCGGCAGGACTGGAGCACGTGGGATCACCTGCTGAGAGACCTTTCTGGGGAGGGGGCTGAGCGGAGACCTGAATGACGAGTGATCAGGACGTAGAACCTTCTGGGCCGAGTGAGGTCAGCAGACCGTGTTCTTGACTCAGAGGCCCGGGCGCTCCAGGGTGCTCTGGGATGGTGCACGTTAAAAATTAATGCTAACACTGGATTCTCTGGTTCCATGCTACCTCGATTGGTCTCAGTTCCAATCCCACTTACAAAATCACAGTTTTACTGAGGATTAAAGGTAAGCGGAAAGCTTGTTTACATTCTTAAAAGGCCAGGGGCCATATTTGTTTGATTTTTGGCCCTTTGTTTAGCAAAGTTATCTATAACACAGTTTTCACAAATGATTCTAATGATTTCTTAAAGTATTTCGACTACACAGAGCCTTTAGTGCCATCTACTGTGGATCGGAACTGGTCACGTTTGTGTGGTTTTGAGCAGCCAAAGTGAAATGGGAACCAAGGAGTTGGTTAGAGACACCCACAGTTAATTCGGAAGCCACTCAATTGAAATTTCTGCTAACTCAGACAGCAACAAAAGTTTGCCTTTGGCTGGCAATCCCATTCTTCCAAGTAGAGAAAATTCTTCATGTCAACTAAATTACTGGGGAAAGATACGCTTAGATCCCAACAGTTTATGCAGATCTTGGAATTTGCTAGCACTCAAATACATCATGTAAATGTATAGTCACACTTAAATAACCAACGTTTAAGTCTGACCATTCTAAAATAGTTGAGTGTATATACCTAAAATAGAACTGTTATTTCTTTAAAGATATTTCATAAAACAGACATTTTACCAATTTTCCTCAACATACCCAAATCTAGTCCTATATACAACTTAATTTTTAATATATTTATTCATTTTAACAAGTACAGGCTAAGTTTTCATTAGGAAGAAGTGCTGGGTCACTATGTTTACTACCTTGACGGGATGCCTAGTGTGAAGGGTTGGTACATGAGCCCACGCAAGTTCAAGAGTAAGTTCTTTGCCAGTAGTTCTGTTTAGGGTTAAGAGAAAACTGAGGTAGGAAGAACTGCTCGTGGTTATGTAGTCTTGCACCTGAACTTATAGGAACTCGACTTGTACCCCTCTCTGGAGGAAGCTGACCACGAGTCACTGGGCACCTTGAGCCGCTGTCTCCCGACCCTGCAGGCAGGCAGTGGACAGGACGCTGACCCCCGCAGGCTGGCAGGTGCCGGCCCATAGGAGGACCTAGCACCTCTACAGCTGCTGTCTTCTGCAGCCCTGTCCCAGAAGAGCGTCTGGATCTCGGGCTCAGTCCCGTCTGCAGGTGCGGCCCCTGGGGGGCGTGAGTGATGGAGGAGCCGGGCCAGTGTCACCGAGGGGCCAGTACTTCCGTGACTGCTGCGGTGCAGCGGCAAATGCCATGGGGCTGCGATGCTCTGCTCCCAGAGGGACGGTCTGGAATCTGCATGCTCCCTGCTCTAACTTTATTCTCTGCAGCTGGGCTTTTTCAAAGCTGTAACTAACTCTGCTCACAGAGATGTCACCAGTGCTGGCTGTGACGTGCACATTGGGTTTATTGGGAAGAAATACAGGAAAGAGTCGCTCCAGTCATTACTTCTTAGGGGCCTCCACGTAAATAGTCCAAGAAGGTCTTGGAAATCTCAGCTTTGTTTATTTTTAATTAATTCATTTTACTATAGTTTATTCATTCGTTCACTTACTGTGACTTCTCTCTTATAATGAACAGCTGAGGTAAGAAAATAACTCAATTTCAAACTGTGGTGTCCTTTGTCTTGTTTCATGAAACACACATTTCTCTTTCTGCATTTTAAGGACGGGAACTCTGGCGACTTTAGAGTTTGTTCCTTAAAGTCCCAGTTTCACAACTCCAAAGGTTAGTAGATCCCCCCTGCCCCCAAATTCCCTATTAATGTCTTCACTGCCAACCAGCAGTGAAGATGATTATTATATTTAGCTTGCCGCCCCTGCGTCAGATCAAGGAACTTAAATCCACTATGGTGACTCTTGGGGAATTGCTGTCATTCGGGGGAGATCCCTGCTCTCTCATCTTCAGGTTAAGTACATAATCATGCTGTTCCTGCTGAGACGGTCAGTGATGAGTATTTCCTGCACCTACAATGTGAACGTGTGCCAGGCACCACGCCAAACATCATGTGCACCAGATGACAATGTCCTGTGAGCCAGTATGAGAACTAGTCCCTGCTTTCCAGGTGAGAAAACCAAGGCTCAGACAGGTTAAGTGACGTTGCCTGATGCGCACAGCTGGTAGGTAAGGGCCTGAGATTCTGAGTCCCAGACCGGAGGGTTGCAGCGCCTGTGGCCTTCCCTCCAAGCCACACGGCCTCCGTAGGAAACGAAGGAAGGAGTTCCTGTCACCCACTCATAAGGAATTAAGTAGATGAGAAATGGCCTCCCACTGGGGGTCCTTGTCTGACACCCACCATTCCCCGCAAGGAGGGGCCAGGCTGCTGGGCCCTGGGAGAGCCCCTTCCTGAGGTTTGGTATGTTCACCCGCCCAACCTGGAGCTGGCCTCGCTGCTCCTTCAGCCCTGACCTTCTCTGGGTTGGTCTGGTGGTCTCAGTTCTTCCTTGTGGCCAAACTCTCAGCTTCCCCCGCCCTGGGCCAGGGCGCAGACTCCAGCTGCCTGCCTGCAGGGTGAATTGCAGCGCGGTTAACGCCACTCGGGATTGGAAAGAGGTGGGGGCTGGTTTGAGTGTCCAGCTCTGCTCTCTCCCGCTGAGTGACTTCGGATGAGTTCCTTAATCTTGCTGTCCTGTTCCTCACCTGAGAAATTAGCGTCATGACAAAACTGGTCCCACAGGGCCTGCGAGGCACTCAGCTACAGCACGGGGGAAAGCCCCGGCATTGGGCCTCAGGGGGCCGGACTGGGCCTCCAGGCCTGCAGCCCAGTGATCCCCACCCCCATGGGCTACCCGGGTCCTGGTTTGTGGGCTGTCCCACTGCTGCTGGACCCAATCTCCAGGGACCCTAGATCTCCAGCGGCATGAAGCACTATCACCTCTTCCTGCTCTGGCTTCATTGTCGATGCGCTTCTTGGAGGCAGGGTCTGAAACGTTTACTTAGTCCCTACATAAGTGTCTCACACAGAGTGGGTGCTAAGGAATGTTGCCAATTGGTGAACAGACTTATCTTTGGTGAATCAGGAAAGAAATCACATGGGTATAGCCTGCAAGTATCTGATCAGCAAATAGACTAGGACCAACTGCACAGCCTGTGGGTACCGGCTGGGCCCCCTCTTAGGCCACCTCGTTTTCTGGTCTCCTTAAGGCCTCTCCTCTCTCCCCTCCAGGGTCTGGGTGGGTGGTGTCATGTGCAACAGGTGCCACACTGGCCACCTCCGGCCAGAGGCTCTGGAGACCAGCAGCCAAGGCAGGACCAGGCCACAAGGAAGAGGCCTGCCTGGAGGATAGAGTCCCAGGCCAGACACCCACCCAGCTCTGTCTGGGTCCCAGAGGCAAGATCCTCTAGGCAGGCCACCACCATCTGGGGCTTCCCCTGCACAAGGCTTCCTGCGGCCCCTGGGGGCAGCCACGCCTGGACAGCCAAGGGGCTATGAAGAGGTGAACAAACTCTCGTGGGAGTCGAGATCTCAGGGCCGTGACACACATGCTCCCCTAAACGGGAAGGGTTGAGGAGTGCCAGGAACAAGGGCTACTGCTCGGCAAGGAAAAGGGATTATGAGAGTTCCGGAGTCACCCGCCTCCTGCCCCCGGTGGCTCTAGGTGACGGCATCCAGTTGAGAGTTTCGCTACGCGGTGTTTCACCTGCAGGAACCAGCAAGTCCTGACTGTGTATTTATTATACCAGACCCACAAAGCACTGCGCTTGCTCTCAGCCTCAGAGGAAACAGCTTCTGTTATTTTTAAAATAAATCTTTTGTGTGCGTATTTACTATGCCGTTACACCACCACTTGGTCCCAGTTTTAAATCACGCGGATACGCTCTGCCTAAGGACTTTAA